CAACAACCAGATGTTTAAAAAGCAAATGATAATGATACCACTCCTTTTGTGCTACCCCCCCCCCCCCCCCCCCCCTTCAACATTTGCATCAGGTTGACGATCAAGTTATCAGTGTTTTACAATGCAATTACAGATAACTGCTCTGTGTAAACACAAAGTACATTCATTCGTCTCATTTATAGCTAGCTTGTGTTTATAATTAGCAACTAGGTCTTTAAAAGACTCCATGCCATTTTCACTGCTTTTTATTTGCTCTTACAAAAAAAAACAGTGCGAGTAAAAAAGCAATGCAATTAGAGTGTAGTCAAACAACCATAAACTGATAACAGATGACAAGAACTGAAAAAACTCCCGTAAGGAGGGATGGTCTGGGGATTGCACAACTGTAACGTCAGTACCAACCAGTTAGAGCAGAATGATTCTAGTATTGGCATACGTTTCTTCAAAGCCACCAATTTGTAACTCTGGAAGCACGCAAAAAGTTCATAAAAGGTTCTCTAAAGTCCATGTTCTTCATACCTTCTGCAGGTCTTCTATCGAGCACTCCGTCTCTTTCAGACGTTCCCGGAGAACCTGCTCTTTGGCTGATATCAGAGACTCCTCGTTCTCCAGTGTGCCGATTTCAAACTCCAGCCTGCAAGCACAAAAAAAATACAGGAAGTTGAAGATTCAAGGAGTTCGTTGCCATGTTCTTAAAGGCTAATATTAGGAATTTCCAAAGAAGCTGAAAAAAAAAGAAAGCTGCTATTTTGTGTATCTCAAAATGTTAATGTCTTTACCAGTAATTACAATGCAGCATGCCCTAACATATTGCTTCTTTACTGTAGGATGTGGCTTGCAGAGGGACAAATGTTATACTGAACAGTGCATTTATACCGCACTGTTCAGAGTAACATCTGGTTAAAATGTCTCTCTTCTCAATCTCTAAAAGACAAAACATAATGACCGTAAGTCATCACCTAAATCCTGATACGAGCTGAATTCTGAGTGTGTTTTTAAGAAGTCAGCCCGATGTTGCACCAGAACGAAAGACACAACAAGTCCTACGAATGTCCATACAACCAGTTCTGCTGTTTGTTTTTTTTCTGGTGAGGACCGTATGGAGACATCAGTACCATTCCCAAAACTGCACCTAAACCAGACTTCCGAACACATACACACAGACATGCACGCTCACATGGTTTAAGACATGGATGTAGCGACAATACTAGGAAGCAGTCAGGGAGGAGGCCCGGGGGGTTGCTTCCTCACTCACTGCCAGCACTCACAATATTTCAGAATGCACTCCTATGGGACGCAAGGAATTTGTGCGTCAGTGTTTTGTGAGCGTGTGTGAGATATAAAGATATTAAAGGTTCATAACAATGCTGCAAGCAGTCAATCTTCCCACCGTAATACAGTAATCAATAAGCCTCACTCATGACTGGACCATTTAAGAGACCAGTTATCTGAAGCAGCTTTGATAAATGTGTAGGTTGTTAGCAGCACTAGACCAAGTTCAACCATGTTGAGTTTTCAAAATATGAACAGTGAACAGGGGGGATATTTCTTGGTACTAACAAAATCAAAGGTTGTGTGTTCAATGTTCGCCAGAAAACCTGGCGCTTTGGCTCTGATCGCTGAGGTTTAACTAAACAAAAAGACACACACAGTCCACACTCATCACTTCACCAAGTTCATCTTCAGCGGTGTGACGCTTGGATGTTCTACAGCTATACCCAAAGACTGTACTGTGGCACTAAAAATACCTGTTTTCAAAGCTTTGATGGCTGTAAGAACCAAGTACCATTCTTCAAGATCTCTTTTGTAAGAGAGGCCTGGGTGCAGTGGAGCAGCACGCTGCAGAAGCTGTGGCGTATTGGGTTGTTCTGCGGTCAGAAAAAAAGCTTTTGTTGGCTGCATCTGTCACACCGATCTGTTATTTGTCTCCGCTGAATGTTATCACGCACTACTTTCAATGTGAAATCTCGTTTGCATCAGAAGACTGAATAGACTATAGCAGTCTCTTATCATAAAATTGGCCTTGTGTAACTGTGCCCTCGGGCCATTGTCTGGATCAGAATAATCAGCGCAGTTCAGGGTCGTTCAGTGTTACTTGAAATCACATGATTCAAGAGTCTATTTATTTAAAAATAAAAAGTGTATTGTCTCTTTTTATGCCAAGAATGTAACAAATACAGCAACATGCACGGAAGATAATTTAACACCACTGTCAAGTCTGAAGAGAGCCAGCTTCAGACTGTATTGTCCGTTATCGTTAGGGTTGGGTATTGGTAATCAATACCTCAAAAGGTGTTGACCTAAATAACCCAGTACCAAGTAGTAGAGAAACATCTCCAGTCCATGATATCTGCATTTGGTCCTTTTTGTACCCGAATGACTGATGACTGAATGGTGAAACAAAAAGGATCATCTGTATGGTTTTGCTCACAGCCAATCACTGCGAGCGTTCTTCTGCAACGTGCGATTGGCCCACCGCCACACCAGCTACAGCTCATACAGTCTGTGCTGTGGTGAAGCCGAGCGCGCTGTATTTGACAGTGTTGGTAGTTCAGCACGAAGCGTCTGTTAGAAATGAATGCGGTGGTAAAGTGAATGACAGTGGTTATTTATGAATAGAGTAATGCCGGACTGTACATCCTATATTCAACTCTAGCCTTGCTGGTGTTTTAAAAAACATTGCCCCAACCTTGGATCGAGGACTGCACCACAATGTGAATCGGATCATGTGAATAGACCTGAATATATATCTGTAGAGAGTGGGAGGTATAGAAGAGAGGGAAGAAAGCAGGTCTATGGGGGGATCAATCATTTTTCGGGTTTTTGAGTATTAGGTGTTGCACACCTATGAGGCCACAAGACTGCATGCATGCTAACAGGACGTGGGGAAGAACTGAGTGGAATTCAACACAATTAATGCATCATTATCCTTTGAAAATATGAAGCTGTACATTAAGCTGACAACGTCTGAAATCGTGAGGTGTCCTTCTTTACTTATTGTGATAAATGTGTTGATGCTAGTACTAGCTAATTCATCTCCAAGTAAACAACCAAAATACTCTTTATCAGGATAGTAGCAGAGATAGGAAACAAACTGGAGACAGTCAATGGCGATAAATGGTTAGCAAACAGTTATGAGAGTCTATGGCAGAAATATGTCTTTTGGATAAATTGAACGTATTGTCCCTTTATTGTCAAGTTAGCTTGCTATCAGTTCGCTTGCTCAGAATTGTCAGAAGTTTGTGTGCTTTAATACATGAAAATCAATCTGTCCTGTACTTGCACTGATAATGAAATAACAGATTAAAAGAATGGTCTGCAGACCAGCTAGACTTACTACATATTTCATATACAGCAGGTACAGGTGGTGGGGTCACACTATCCCACTTTACAGATGTTATACTTGCAGATGAAGGAGGGGCAGTCTGTCCCTACTTCATTATTAAGGCAAACCAAACCGCCATCATGAAGTCAATCACAAAACTCGACAAAAACATTCTGCTGGAAAGTTTCCTAACACACACACACTCTACATTGTCAGATTGAAATTCCCTCTGTCTTGTTTTACCCTAACTTATATCTTTTCACTCTGCAGCAGATGTCTGGACCCCGTTGCCTCTCACGTGGCTACTCTTCCCGCTCCTCGCTATCTCATTTCCTTCTCCCCCCCCCCCCCCCCCCCCCCCTTCTGGCGGGAAATGGATTTTACTTCTGCATCCTGTAAGCTGAATGAGGTTATGCCAAAATGGGCAAGAATGTGACCGGAGGAGGACGCAGGTTTCTAATCCTATTACATCGCTGCTACTTCATCTACTGCTTTATAAGGAGCATCCTACAAGACTCATCTTAGAAATATTCACATACAAGTCATCCGTAATAACACTAGAATAAATTGTGAAGGAAATTGAGTAGGTAAGACAGAAGGTAGAAAGGATGCGTCAACCCCCCTGTATGGTTTTTAGCTTATGTGCAGAGCAAAGAGAGACATGCTGGCACCGGTCATATTTGTGTCTGGTGCCCTCTAGTGATCAAACCTCAAACATGACCAAAACTGTGAGCACAGAAGAGAAGACCTACACATGATGGATGGATTGTTTCTTGTCCTTCCATGAAGATTCCACTCCTAATAGGGTTTTATGCCAAAGCAAAGGACCACACATTAACTATTAGCTGTCCTACCAGATGTTACCTCAATCTCTATACGTGTGTATGTGTGTGTGTGTGAGCGAGAGAGCTCGGGCCATGACCTTACACTGTCCCTTCTTCCCCTCCGCTTCCTGTCCTTACACCTCGTTTGTCGGGCAGTGTCACTATCTTCTGTGGCTATCCCGAAAGAGACCGGTGTCACCGTCCCGCCCCGTCAACCAACCGCAGGGCCTGTTGCCATGGATACGCCCAGGGTGGGCAGCAAACCGCATTCCACATCACACAGAAAAGAGGAAAAGCAGACATCTGGTTTTATGTGTGGCACACGTGTGTGTTTGTGCATGATACTGTGTGTACTGTGTGTGTGTGTGAGTGTGTGTGTGTGTGTGTGTGTGTGAGCGTGTGTGTGTGTGTGTGTGTGTGTGTGTGTGTGATTGGGGCTTTCTAGGTGAAGTTCTTCTCTTGGAGTTGTTCTTGTGCACTTTTCAAGACGCTAAGCAGCTTGGGGGATGAAAACCTCTGATTGGCTGAGGTAGAGATCAGTGGGCGGAGTCAAGGAGCCATCATTTTCCCAAGCAGTCCATGAAGGGGAGAAGCAGAAGTTTAAATCTATATAGGGCAGTTGAATTTTGACTCACTCTCCTCAGCATCAGGGTGCAAAGTAAAAACCACACTGGGTTTGTTACATTGTGTTTTTATAGTTATAAATAATAAGTTATTTAGCGTTTACGCGCAGTATATCAAACAACAATAATAATACTAATAACAATAATGATATAGTAGTTGTAAGACTTAGTTGTAAGCAGATGTACTTGTTTATTAAAGTATTACTCAACAGCTATGACTCCTTCTGCGTGCATCTATAAGTGCAGGCTGGTGGAGCAACATATAATGAATGACGACATAGCAAAACAGGGTTGCATTCATGTAAAACATGTCTTCATAGAAGTGCTATAACTGTTGACAAATACAACTGCATTTTAATGAGCTATAAACCATGTATTAAATGTTTAAATACTGCTCATAAATACGAAAGTAAAGTGTTATCAAAGTGGCGGTTTTTGACAAATGCATCCTCTGATGTTGCTCAATTTTCACCAGTTCTTGGTGGTGACATTAATGGTTCGCAAATAAGAACTGTGTTGATCCGTGGAGATTCACCACATCTAACTCAAGAGCAATGACCATCGCTGGTCTCCACACCCGACCGCAAACACATTCATGAATCCATTAACAGCTCAATGAACCACGGTGCAGCGAAACAACAAAAAGTCAACACTGGCCATTTACTTTACCGACATCTAAAAAAAGTCCAGACTAAAGTGTCTGTTTTAAGTTGCAAGTTTAGCTGAACAAAACACTAGATTTCTACACATCAGTCAAAGTCAGTGATTGAAACTGTATCATGTACCTGGAATCAGTCCCTAACCATCCTCTAATACACACAGGCACATTTATAATATGCTGTCATATATTAGTCTGCTTCTT